AAGTCACTTCTGTCAAATTAGTTGTCATTCATTCAGTCTATTTTGCCAAATCATTATGAACAGATATAGCATTCAACAATATGTGCAAATAATAATCATAATCGTCCCTTCTAAATGACTATTCTCCATGTGCTAGATGAATTTGAGTCCACTGATTCGGTGAACGATCGCGTCGCTATCAAAAATTCCGCCTACCGTGTATCACAACTTGGCGAATTTTGCGTCGTGAATTGCGCATGTTCCCATAGAAATTTCAACCACCACAGGCAACGATGTGTGTGGGCTGAAAGGGCTCTTGGCAACTGACCCTAATTTTCATGAAAAAATCAACCTCAGTGATGAGGCTCATTTCTGGATGAATGGGTATGTGAACAAACAGAATTGTCGAATTTAGGACGATACCAATCCACATTAGATCTCAGAGCGTCCAATGCATCCCTAAAAAGTCACGGGTTTCCATTCTGGGTTGATGGCGTCATCAGTCCATACTTCTTTGAGAACGACGTTGGCCACGCCGTTACTGTCAACGGCGAGCACTATAGGTTGAAGATTACTAAATTCTTTGGAAGTGAAGGTGATGTGAACTGGCCACATATATCGTGTAATTTGAACCCATTAGACTTTTTCTTGTGAGGTTTTCTTGAGTTGCAGTTGCAGAAGTTGCGAATGAGCTACGAACCACAGCGGTTCTCAAAGACAATATAACCCATACCATTGGTCAAATTCAGCCTGAGTCATGGAATTGTATTCTCGTTCCAAACGATTTTTGATTTTGGATGAACAAAAAATGATGGAAAAAAATCACATGAATCAGTCACATGGGTAAAATACTCCATTAATTCGACCAAATGTGGAAAGAGTTTTTTCAGCTGCGACTTGTCGGTCATCAGAACTGATTATCGGTCTTTTATTCAACACGTTCCGAGTTTGTTTGAAAGTGGTTGATAATGTTTCGTGGTGAATTTCTTTAGTTTGGACTTCCATGGTGTAATATGATATAAATTGATTTCAAATCCCTGGAAAAATCTATAAAAAAATAAAAAGATCAGCTAAAAAATAATAATTAAAATAAGCAAAAAACCTGAATTTCATAAATTCACCTCACGATTTCATATCCAAAATTTGTGGATATCAAATTGTAAGGTGTAGTTTATGAAATTACTATGGATCTTCATCAAGTAACGGCCGAAACAATCAGGAAAAAAACTGAAATTACAATGAAATAAAATGCAAGTAACAATCGAAACATAAAAAATTGAACTAATAACACTAGATGGAAAATGATATCTTCAACAAGTCACACGGAATCAGGAATCCAACCACCATCAATGGACTGAGAGAGGAATCATCAAAACTGTAGTAGACCGTTCTTTCTGGCTCTGTAACTCAAAGAAATGTCTCAAAAAGAAAATAGCCATCATCAAAAATGACCTTCAACGAAATCGTAACATCGAAAAGGTGGTGGTGGAACAGACTTTGGCTAGAAAACAGCAAGAGCCTGCTGTCCAAGTATAACATCAGAACCCGCTTCAGATCTGGAAACACTATTCGTAGCAGCCTCATGAAAATCAGGCCACCAACCGCGAACTGTGATTCCAAGAATTGCATTTTCCGGATACCCTGCGAGTATGGAGAATCATGCATCAATGAAACTGTGAGGCAATTGAAAGTTAGCATTGCCGAGCACCAGAAACACACACAGCGAAGAGAAACTAGCAAATCAGGAATAGCAGAGCATGTTTGGATTCATCAACATAACATCAAGTGGTCTCAAGCTGCAATCATCCACAAAGAGGAACACTGGCTCAGGAGAAAACTCGAAGAAGGTACATATACGTTGGCTAACAGCGCATTCAGCCAAGCTAGAGTTACGCAACATGATGACCTCTGACTTTATGCATCCAACTGTCAACTACGAACTACGAAGTACTATTCCCGAGTACAGAGGACTGGATCCTGTCAGAGAAGGAAATATTAAGAGCAGATAGTTGTTGGTTCACAGATGATCTTAACACCTTTCGGTTCTGGTGCAGGTGTTTTCAGTCGCAGACCCAGGACAGAGTTATCTACCTGCCTAGGAACTTATGCGACTGTATTTCAAGCGGAATTTTACGCTATCGAATTGTGTGCGGAGAGATTGGATAAATCCAACCTCACTCACAAGTCGATAAGAATATTCTCGGACAGTCAAGTGGCGTCGGAAGCTCTTGGCTCCCACCAAGCTACGTCTAAATTGGTAACAAACTGCCAAAAAAGACTCTCATCGATGGGAAGACTAAACAGATCGTTTCTGGTCTGGATTTTCTGCCATACTGGCCTGGAAGGCAATGAAGCTGCTGACTCTCTTGCAAAGGAGGGTGCTACAAGTGGCTTCATTGGACCAGAACCTGTCATTGGCATCGCTTTGGGCTTTGCGAAACAAACACTGAACACCTGGATGGCAAGAAGAGCTATGGACTTCTGGCAGATCTTCCAGGATTGACTCATTCCAAGACGTTTATTCACCCTTCGAAGCTTGATTGCAAACAGTTGTTGGACTACAGTAGGGATGAACTACGATGTCTATCAGGCCTTCTTACAGGTCACTGTCATTTGAATCATCACATGCAGAGACTTGGACTGTCGGAAGACAGTGTGTGTTGCCTCTGTCTGGAAAATGATAGAACAGCAGAGCATATATATCAGGTTCTTTGAGTTTGGCAGATCCGTACTCTTACCATCTGACCTGAAAGACCATGTACCATACAAACTAATCGGCTTCTTTAAGAAGCTGGGTTTATTTGGCCGAGTGTGAATAGGTGTGAGCCACAATAAACCCTTGTGGGTTGCGGTGGAGGGTCGAATAGACCCACTTACTTTAGACCTACCTACTTACCTACACAACATATAGAAACCTTTGGGAAAGAAAGTTTTTGGCTTTCTACTACTCCATCTTGATACAAAAAAAAGAAGGATGAGGGAGTCTTCCAAAGAAAGGAAGGAAGTAACTCTATACATGGATGTGTAGATCATGCAAAGAAGTTACTTTCAGACACAAACTGGAAGAAAGTCCTCCTGAAACAGCTACTTCCATATAAACATTGAATTATACGAAAGAAAAATTATTTCGAAACAAATACTTCTCTATGAACACTGAATTATACAGAAGATACTTTTCTCTACTCAGTTTGTATTTCAAACATTCGTTGTGGAATTAAAATCAGATATCATTTACATGAGTTCTACTTTAAATGAATGGTAACAAATTGCACTTACATAGAACACTGCCATCCTCACTGGTATACACCGATGTTTCGCCTTAAGACACTTGCCCTAAGGCTCTTCAGTACCAAATTGGATAACATTATAGAAAATACATACACTTCATTCATGAATTACGATTTTTTAATGTCACGGAATAAGCTTGATCTGCTTATGTCATCGATGACATCGTAAAGACATTCATTCACCTATTTGATTCAATCCTATTTGATTCAATAAGCAGATCAAGCTCATTCCGTGACTCCAAAAAATCGTAATTCATGAATGAAGTGTGTGTATATTCTATAATGTTATTCAATTTGGTACTGAAGAGTCTTAGGGCAAGTATCTTAAGGCGAAACATCGGTGTATACCAGTGAGGATGGCAGTGTTCTATGTAAGTGCAATTTGTTAACATTCATTTAAAGTAGAACTCATGTGGATGATATCTGTTTTTTATTCCACAACGAATATTTGGAATACAAACTGAGTAGAGAAAAGTATCTTCTGTATAATTCAGGGTTCATAGAGAAGTATTTGTTTCGAAAGAATTTTATCTTTGGTATAATTCAATGTTTATATGAAAGTAGCTCTTTCAGGAGGACTTTCTTTCAGTTTGTGTCTGAAAGTTACTTCTTTGCATGATCTACACATCCATGTATAGAGTTACTTCCTTCCTTTCTTTGGAAGACTTCCTTATCCTTCTTTTTTTTGTATCAAGATGGAGTAGTAGAAAGCCAAAAACTTTCTTTCCCAAAAATTATTCACTCCTAAAAAATATAACCCCTTCAATTCATATAGAAACCTATAATCAAGCGGAACACAACCAACTCCCGCCAAACGGTCAGCTCGCGCTAATACCGATGAAGCGGTGAAAGGGAAGACGGGATAGACCTATACATAGTCAGATCCCGGAGAAATAAGTCCAGTCATTACTCGAAGATGATTATGGATACTAACAATCGAAACTCGGCTTGGAATTTTTCAATTTTTCTTTTCTGATAATTTTTAATAATTTTTTAATAATTTTTAACTTTCATTTAGTGTTAATAGTTCAAATTTTTGATTTTTCGATTGTTGCTTGTATTTTATCCCATTGTGATTTCAGTTTTTTTTTGCTTGATTTAATTGTTATTTTTCAGCTGATCTTTTCAATTTTTTATAAATTTATTCAAGGATTTCAAATCAATTTATATCATATCAAACAATGGAAGTCCGAACTAATGAAATGCGTCTCAAGTTGACAAAATCGCATGTTTTCGATTGATAACTTATTTAAAATTTAATTTGATATTATTCTCATTTTCTTTCAATAATTATTATTTATTATTATCAATAGAATGTTCGTTTCAGTTTTCAACTGAAATATACGGGGATATCCTTGTGCAAAAATACTTTTGAAAGAATTTGTTCTGACCTTCATTATCAATTCCCAAATGCATCGGTTTCTCCCCCCATGGCAATTTTTGTACTTCGAATAATATGACGAGATAAAACTTCAACAATATCCTTATTAAAAAATCCATTCGAGGATTTGTCACTTCACCCTGACACGCTCTCAACATGGGTGAAAAATGTGTTCAATCACAGGAAAATACTTTCAAAGCTCCTTGTTCTCGACCATCGGCACAACTTTCAAATAAAAAAACAAAAGCGACGAGTAAAAGTTTTCCACTAAATTGCGAAGAAGCCAATGCGCTCCCATTTCCCAATAGTACATTATTTCGTACTGGTCTATAAAAGTTCACGCTTTGTTTCAGATCACCGGGGGCCGGAGGAAGCTACTTGGGGGATGTCAACGTTTCCGCCATACTGGACTCCTTCAGTGTCAGCTACGACAAAAGAGTAAGACCGAACTACGGAGGTGAGTCGTTGCACGGAGTCCAAAATATTTATTTTGTTCGGGAGTGCGGCGGACGCCCGGCCTGCATTGTTTTTGAGTTTCGGACAGGGTTGTCAGATTGAACGGAATTCACGAGAAATATAATTTTGATATCATGTTGATTCGTATATTCATTACATGATAAAAAGAATACTGTGTTAGTATGTGGAAACGGTTGAAATATTTTTGTTTGTTGTGCATTCTACTTATTGAAAGTTGGAAAGAAGAATATATCTGCCGTTTATAAAGGCACAACTTGATTCAATGAAAATGTTCAGAGTAGTTACAACTGAGAACACCTCATCATTAAAACTTTCAAACCCTACTGATATCCAATTTCAATTTTCGCGAGTTTTATATCAACATGCAAGTATAGAAATCAAAAAGATAGCTGAAAGTAACAATTATATTGAGCAAAGAAACCCTGAAAAAAATCAAAGTGAAATAAATTGCAAGTTAAGAATATAACAAATAAACAATAAATTGAAATAAAAAATTAAGAGATTCCAAACCAAGTTAATTCACGATGTTTCGATTGTTAGTACACACAATCGTCTTCGGGTGATGACTGGACCGATTCCTCTGTGAGCTGACTATTTATAAGTCATTCGAGTACTTTCATCTATCTCTTCTTGTCTCTTTTCGCTTCACCTGTTAAGCGATAGCTGACCGTTTAGCGGGAGTTGGTTGTGTTCCGCTTAATTATAGGTTTCCATATGTTGCGTATCTCTACGCTAACTTGGCTGAATACATACGCAACATATAAAAACCCATAATCAAGCGAAAACTGGACAACTCTCGCCAAACTGTCATCTCCCGCAAATACATGATTACCACGAACAAAAATTCTCAAAAAGCTCTTTAACAAGATAGGGAAAATGTAGATTTTATTCAAAAAATTTCAAGTCAATTTCAATATAAACAGTTTCGTAAAAATTGAGAAAATTCAGAAAACCATTGGAAAACTCATCTGTAAACACTACTGGAAGGAACTGAACTTTTATTCAAGTGTCATGGATAAAATGAAATTGACAAGTTGTGAGTGTATCGAAAATTGAGAAGATTATAGGAATTGAATTATAAAAATGTGGACAATTTGAATTTTTCATCAGATTGGAATTTGTACATCAGTATTGAACTACAAAAGGAATAATTTTCTAGTCATTTGCCAAAAATCTAATTTGCCACTGTGAATAAATTGTCAAAATGGAGTATCAAGTTTTCACATCTGATTCGTAAGCAGCGAACAAAAGTACATGAGTCTGATGATTTTTTCAACTAGCGTGAGTCTGTTCTATCGAAAAATTTTTTTTCAACAGCATTATTCATTTCTATCAGTCTATTGTTTGTCATGGAATATATAACATTTATATCACCATATAAGTAGTATTGAAACTATCTAGTTTCTCAAATCGATGGCAAATTGTTAAGGGGCGTCCACACTATGCCGATCAACAAGGTCGTTCGACAATGTCGAACGACATAGGTGACAGTTGTCTCGTCCACAAATAATACTGCTATGTGGACGTATTCTATCAGTCGACTATAAGTAAAGTAAAGTTGACTATAAGTCGACTATAAGTAGAGTTGAGTGAGAAGAGAGTGAGTGAGAAATATTCTAAATGAATTATATCTAGTGGAACAAGCAAAATAAAAACAAAATGAGTGATTAAGATGCTCCTGTTGCTGCTGCTACTGCCATATTTATGTCCACGCCTATAAACCAACATGTACATCATTCCAGGAGGTTTTTTATTCGACCTAGTCTTGTAAATGGGAAAAAAAGTACAGTACAACTGAATTTATGGAGGATTTATTGTTGGATGAACAATTATTTTCATTAGACAGTCGGAAAAATCCATTTCATTCGGGTTACATTCGACTCGACATTTGTCGATCGAATTAGTCGATTGACACGTCCATACTACGTCGACTGTGTCGATCGACCGCAGTCGATCAGCATATTCAACATAGTGTGGACGCGCCTTTACATTTTCAGATATATTCACACAATCGAAATCGACGAATAAACAAGTTGATACTCAAAGTACTCTGTATATGAGTTGTATAAATATATACATTCACATTTCATTATATATACAGTCTGTAGTGCATGATAGATCACAATATTCCAAGCTATTTGGGGTGGAATAGATCATGACATGAAACATCTCAACCGTGCCGAGTCAGTGGAGCTTAAATAATCTTAGAAGGCCAAAATAATATGGAATAATGAAATTTTGCAAATTAGGTCAAGTATAATATTGATTGAGAAGTGACCATTATCACAAATTCACTGGTGAGTTTTTTTCTCAGCATTTTTTTTTGTTTTTGATTTCCAACGTAACTGGGGAGTATTATAGAAATGTGTTTATAGATCATAGACAATTTCCATACTGAGTGATTCAATGCATAAATGTAATTACCAATCAAAAATGGAGGGATTTCATACGAACCATTTCCAAAGTACTGAATCATTTTTTTTTTCAATTCTACCTCGTAAGTGCATGATGATTGTATAACAAATATCTACAGTGGCGTGAAAGTTGAAATATGAGATTTATTCAACACGGTATATGGTATTCAATCTTGATAACACCCATATTTGTTTTCTAATGTATGGTTTCCGTCAAACCTTCGAGTTATGATTCAACTGTTGACACATACTAACACAATGCGATAGTCAGCGCACATAACAACATCGCATGATATTTCCCCAATTCTCCTGATTTCCGCCGCGACCTGGCAACGCGCTATCTCACGCCAGCGTCGCCGATATCGCGTGGCGACCGGGCGGCCGTTGTCCCACGCGGTCCGCGTCGGCAGGGTGGGGCCAGATCGATGCTCGGGAGGGTTGCCATGCGACGCGCTTGTCTGCTCCAGACCGCCATTCCGCGAGCTGCCGCTGACCGGGCGCTGTTATGGCGCCACCGCCACCGCCGAGACGCTGTGCTGATGGGAAATTTTACGGGACCCCTGAGGGTGTAGCAGCCCGCCGGATGTGATGAGATATGCACGCCGGGATTTCACGGAAAGTTCATTTGTTTGACTACCCGACACGTGCTGGGTGATGCTTTTTCACGGGGAGGCTCGATTCGTTATGGTTGTGGGGGCGGTATGATTTGAGAATTTCAACACTCCGTCAAAGTGGGCAAATATATCAAAACATGTACAGGCTCATCCTAATCAAATGCGCGTCATTTATCACTATTTTATCATCGAGGATACCAAATCAATTGAACTATTAACATTTCTATGATCCTGAGATGTGAGAAACGAAAGTTATTGATTTTCGCATTCTTCACTTCATGTCTTTATCCTTTTTTCCAACAGATAATGATTTTCCAATTATGACAGTATACAATTTTTTTTGCAAAGTTGAGAATGAACAAGCTATTAGAGTTGTAGATCAAATAAATGTACTACATGGGCTAAAAAGTCTCGGGCCTAACACATAGATGGTACTAGTCTTATTGCATCTATCGCCTTCTCAGTTAGTACTAACCTTCAAAAATAGCGTTTGAAATTTCAAGATGTTCTACTCATAAGTTTGTGAGCTATTGTGCTGAGAGTGACACTACTTTTGTTATTTTCAAAACAATGAATCAAAAACAATTTTTTATTTTAATTTTACGTTGCTCCTTGATGGGAAAAATACCGTTCAAGCAAAGCAATGCCTTGAAAAGTGTTATGAGGACTCTGCTTCAAACGTGGTCGTGGAGACACCGATGATGCAGAACGCAGTTGACGGCCAGTTGAGGCAGTAACACCAGAAAACATTGGAAAAATCCACAAAATCGTTTTGAATGACCGAAAAGTGAAGTTGCGTGACTTAGCTGGCATTGTGAAGATATCGAAAGAACGTGTTGGCTTTATATTACATGAGCATTAGACTATGAGAAAGCTCTGTTAAAAGGGGGTGCACTGCGAACTCACTGTTGACCAAAAACAAGAACGTCTTTATGATTCTGAGCAGTGTTTGGCCATGTTCAGACATAACCGTGTTAGGAATCACACATTTAAAGGTGAGACCTCGTTAGTCCTTAGCTCGAACAAGTTTTTCAACTTCTGAGAGTGGTTGTATGGGGGCGGCAGCTGACTAACGGAAAAACAGATTTTAAACAGATTTAAACAGAATAAACCGGAATGTTCGCGTCAACATATGACAATGGATGAAACATGGATCTATCACTTCACTCCGGAATTAAAACGATCGTCATCTTAGTGGAGAGCAACTGGTGAACCTCTTCCAAAGCATCCGAAAGCACAACAATCGGCTGGAAAGGTTATGGCCTCGGTATTTTGGGCTGTATGTAGTGTAATATTCATCGGCTATCTTGAAAAGGAAAATAACATCAATAGTTTGAACGCCGAATTTGCGAAAAAATACCGCTTCTGAAGAAAAAGAAAATGCTCAGTGTTACAAATTGATTGAAACGATGGCAAAATTACATGAAATGGGCTTCAAGTTGCTCTCGAATACACCATATTCGTCAGATCTGGATCCCAGCGACTACTGGTTGTTCGCAGACCTCAAAAATGCTTACCGATAAGAAATTTCGCTCGAATGAAAAGTTTATTGCCTATTTTGAGCCAAAAGATTGTCTGGCTCTTGATGGAGATTAAGAGAATAAAGCTCATTTTGAACAAAAAACAAAACGTTTTCTATCTCAGGCTCGAGACTTTTTAGCCCAGGTATATTAAGAAACAATTGATTGTGTCTCCATAGAATGTCTATCTGAATCACATGTCGAACTGCTATGAACGAACATTAGGTCTTGATCAGAATAGCTTCGGTAATGACGAACATGTTTTGCTACTTGGCAGCCGATTGACTTGTCCACTTCTTGCGTTTTTTTTCTTCCGAATTCAAAAGGCACCGAACCAACAATATTGTTTCATGTATAAGGTCAACAGGTCGTTTGTTAGATAATCCATATTTTACGAGACCCAATTTAGGTTGTCCATGATTGCTTCCTTTT